GTTATGATAGCACTACTCCTCGCTTCGTTAAAGCCGGCGGTCTCTGTTAGCAAGCCGGCAAAGCTTTCTTCTTCAATTTCTTCAGGGTAATCCACTTCAGTCTGGGATGACCTCCATCGTTCTGTTTTGTTCTATGGCTCTGAATCGACCAAGCTGGCCCGAGCAGTTCTGTTATATGTCGGAGTTGGCCTCTCAAGACGAGAGACGTCATAGACCCGCCGGCCCCGAGCTCAGGGCTTGAACGGCTTCGTCAACCTGGCTTGGCTGCTTGTCGTTTGCTTCCTGCCCTAAAGTCCCCGTCTGTAGGACTTCACAGAACTTGCAAGACACTTGTTGTTAATTGACATGGCCTGGCAAAAACAAAAGCAACGTTGATTAGATAGCACGGAACCCCCGCAGGCAAAACGGAACCGAGCAAACACTTTGCGAATTTTCAAAGGACTGAACGAAGACGCCGACTTACCTTCGTGCCCATAGCACTCTCATTCACTAGACGATTGACCAACTTCCGATGATCGGGCGACCAGGTCTCAGTGCGCTCACAAAGGTGAATCCTGACCACGTCGCATCTCTGTATAATGCGAGTTAGCAAGGGGGCCCCTTATTTTTGGGGGAGAAACCAGGGGATCGAAGGCGAGCAGATGCTCTTTGTCAGCCTTTCGAAGCCATCGCGGATATCTTGACCCGGTTGCTTCAAATGTGGGCGCCAGGCGGCACTGGGGCGGGGCGTCTGATTGGGATTGTCGGTGGTAAGCCTCGCGGTGACTATCTCGGTGAAGGGCTGCCAGAGATCTTATTACCGGCACGTCAAGCAGAGGTTCTCGGCTGGATTGCCCGGCCGGATTGCATGGCAAGGCGACCACAGCTTGCCATAGAATTGACCAGCGGCTGCGAGACGACGTTACTACAAATGTTGCCAGATATCCTGTCGAACGCTCGCCGCCCACGCTACGTGAATGCCCAGTCCTCCACAGCCCGGTTGGGTGGTAGTACTGGCGGGGTAGGCGATCGGAGTGGCTAGGAGCGTGGAGCGAGCGCGTGCGGATGAAGGGAGTCGCGGGGGGCGAGGGACAGGCGGACAGCAGCAGCGGGAGAGTCGGGGAGTGCGAGGTTCGGGTGGAGTATCGAGAAGGTGGGCTCCGGGGTAAGGGGTGGGCAGAGGCAGTCGGGACGGGACGACGGCGGA